CTTCCTGACCTGGAAAAGAGCAAGATTTAAGACCTGCTCTGGGCCCCAGCATTTCCTTTGGCCAGGTGTAGGCAAATCCCTACTCAGGGGACTGGTATTTGTGGATAACACACAGAAGTCCCCAGTTGTCACTGACAGTGCACATGACCTGAACTGCAGTTCCAGATTTCCGCTGGGAGGGACAAGGAATTTAAGAGTATAGACATTGTGCTTAGTGTTACAGTTGCATTATCTTCTGTCACTTTGGGCCTGATCTAGTTAACTTTTGCAGACAAGAGTGAGTTTATTGTAACTAGGTCAGGAGAAGAACAGTCTGTACATCTGCTGCTACTCGCTGCTGAAGTAGCTTCTGAATCAAATTAAATGTAAAGCTTGACTTGCACCAGTGGGAACCTACCATGCTGCCCTCTCATGGGATAGAGCTGCTAGTTCTCTAAACTAACCTAGTTAGTCATCTCACTACAAGCGGTGGGATGGGTCTTTTGTCATGGAAAGGTGCCATTGGTTTGAACTTAGTTGCTATCTGCAGGGATATGACTTTTCCATAATCAACACCATCACAGTGTGCTAGTACTCTTTCTCATTTCATCAATATCTGACACCATATGCTGTAGAATATAACAATTAAAACAAATATTGATATGTTTTCTTACTGCAGCTATTGTCCAAGGAGATAGCTTAGAAGATATATATAATCAATGCAAACTTGTAATTGAAGAACAATCTGGGCCTTTCATCTGGATTCCTTCAAAGGAAAAATTATAAATTAGCCACTGCACCTCTGATTACGACGGGAAAATATTTAGAAGAAAACTATAATATACTATTTGGAGGCTTTCCTGTTTTTGTTGCATTTATGTTCTTTGCAGTCAATGTGAATTTTGATGAATGTACAACACAAAGTGTTTGAAGCCATGAAGGACACTGATGGGTCAAAGGGTAGGAACAAAAAGACTTCTACCATATAAAGCAAATCTGTTGTGTGCTCAGAGCACCAGTTGTAGGTATAAACTTTTGACATGGAGACCCTCTGTCAAGGGGAGCTAGCCACCTCCTGTGCCCATGCGGACATTTTGATCGATTTCAATGGCTGAGCTCAGTGTGTTGATTGCTTTAAAGAGAAGTTCCCAGCTCTTGAACCTCATATAGGGCTTGATCCTGCAAGGCGCTCAGCACTTAACCCCAATTCCTACACATGAGTAGCCCGTTGAGTTGGCGTCACTTGTGATCCTTCCCTATGCCGTTCGGTCACATCAATTCCAGTAGGACTATTCATGTGCTGAAAGCTAAGCACGGGCTTAAATGTTTTGCTAGATCAGGGCCACATGCACCTTGCAAAATCAAGCTCAGGGTACTTGGTCCACTTGCTACTGAAGTCATTGGTAGGACACTCTTTGACTTGACTGGGAGGTGGATCCTATTCTAAGCTTGTCATTGCACATTTGTAGTTGGTACACCTCGACTTCGGTAACTATGCACATCTTTTGATTTCTGAAACCAAGTCAAGCATTTCTTTTTTCCCCTTTGGAAACACTATTGCATCAGGAACTAATAACACTATAGTTTATTTTAATGGTGTTTGGGGGTGGGAGAGGATGGAAGCATTTCACATCACACACACATGCACAGAAACACATATGTATGAGGATTCACAGCACCTATGTTGACAAGGAGGGATACAACTGGGAAAAGCTTTAAAATTTTTGATTGTCTATTTTATCATTTATATTGATAGAAGGCACTTAAAGATGGAATAATTTATAAAAATAAAAATATATTGATGTATAGAAACTAATTTCTATAGTTAAAAATGTTTTTGTGAGATATTTTGTAAAGATTAATTAATTGAAAGATTAAATATTTACACCCTTGTGTGACCGTAAAATGTAAAGAGGACCATCAAGTTGCATTATCCTTTTTCCGTAACAGATTCTCTATTATTAATGACAAGCAAGATAATTCCTTAAACTGTAGTTGTCAGCTTGTTTTTCTCTCAATTTACCCCTCTCCCTTGCCTCTATTTAATCATGATGAACTCCTCTGGAAAGATCTCCTGAACTGACTGCCCTGTAGGACCTTTTCTGATAACAAAAGGATAATGCATCTTTAAATTGAAATGGATGATTTCTCAGAAGCAAAATGTCAGTGCTTGAATGCAGTTAATAACTTCTCTCTCGGAGGGAGTCACACTTCACCCCAAAATGTTTTACAATTCTTCCTGTTTCTTTAAAGGAAATACCAAAAGCGTTTGATCTTTCCTCTCTTTGTAGGTAGGCAGGTCACCAACTAACTTGTATCTTCATTCATTTCACAGTCAACAAGGGTCTTAAAAGCAAAAGCTGAGGCAATGGACATTTGTGAGGGATTTGGGGAAAGTCTGTGGAATTGCAGTTTGGGGTGCACGGAAGGGGAGAGGGAGGTGGTTTTTTTCTCGTGTCACAGTGCCCTCCCTTTGTAGCGATGCCATTCTTCACTGACACACAAGGGGACAACTGCAAGAGATACTATGATAGTAAACTGAATTGCCTTTGCTGCTGCTGGACCAAGTTTTCTATAAAACCCACGCTCTCCTGCCCGCTGCGCCGCAGGAGTGCAATGCTTCTTAGCTGGTGGCTACAGCAACTCTAATGTTTGAGGATATTTTAAGGGCAAATGCTGAATAGACTCCTCAGTTCCTTGTCTATTTGAAGCTTACATTTCTACACCCTGTCAAGCCGACAGGTATATCCAGCCAACCTCCGCAGACAGCGTGACTAGCTGGATGTTTGCAATATAGCCACCAGCAGTGACAGGGTTAAAAATACGGGCATTTTGGTGGCCCTGAGGTGGCCTCTCACTTACTGCCCTACTATGGTAACTTTGAGAAGTTCACACTTCTTTTACTACTATTTTTCTTGCCTGGCCAGCGCAGATTTATAAACAAGGGTTTCAGTTAAGTCTCCAAAAGAGCTTTGTAACCAGAAGGGCTAGAAACTTTTTTTTTTACAAAATATAAATGAATGAAAGGTTAGATTTTGGATAATTCTGCAGAAATCCACAGAGTGACCCCAGATCTTTGGAAGCCATGGATTTTTCCATGCTGGCAAATGTGCTATTGCCCCAGGCTAGGAAATAGCCCACCGGACCTGAAAAAACAAGTATCCTAAAGCAGGAACTTCATTCTAATTTTCAGCTCTGTTTTTAAGCAATCAATCACATCTGCTTCTTTGTTTCTTAGTTCAGCATGCAGCCTTTTACAGTACTATCCTACTAGTAACTGTTTTGCTTTGTCATGTGCTGTGCTTTACGGTGAACAGTAACACTATGGCTGAGTACAATCAATTTTTCCATCAGTCCTTGGTTACTGTAGTAACATTATTTATTTTTCCCTGTCTGTTGTTTGTGCTTCCAGTTTAGAGTTGCCATTGCACTTCTTTTTTTTTTTTTTAAATAAAACATATATTTAAAAACAGCTCACCAAGAGAAGCAGTAAGAGGTCTTATTTCCCTTAGGACTTGTAGTCCCATTTGTTTTGTGCGTTGACGTTTTGCATTTCATGTTTTAGCATCCTCAGAGCTGCAGTTCATTTTTGCATTGCAGCTGTTCAGATCATGCTGGGTGGTAGTGGGAGGAGGAAGAGAAACATAAGATTCATGCAAAATTACATCTGGTGCAAAAAAAAAAAAAAAAATGTCCAAACTCACAACCCACAGCGATTGGCGCCTGAGACCATATTGGTGCTAACACAGCTTAGCGTAATCGATTCCTTTTCTGTCCATGTAAAAGACTTGCGAGCGTCTAAACATGAGACAAATGCAAATGCTGGACCCTTTAGGAAAAGTGCCAGATCACACCCCTGGTGCTATTTCTCATGTTCTGGCACAGTGTGTAGCACCGTAGGGTCTAAGCAGAACCAAAATTATCACAGCTTTTTGTCCACCCATGAATGATCACAATGACATCTCGCTGACTTTGTGCAGATGTGCAATATTACAACCTATTTATTTCTCCTTGCCACAAAACATCTTCCATGCACTGACTCATCGAGAGCTTGCTAACAGGGCTCAGTGAAACGGCACTCTTTACTGGTCTGACGGTCTGACCATCAACCAGCGAAGGAGCCTCTTTCTTGCTTAATTCCCCTTCCTACAGAGGAACCCTGTCCATGCTAGCGCTTTGTAATTTCTTTGGTAGTAAAGGCTGTTTCTAGATAAATATTCTGTGGTGTAACTGTGTTTGTAGCTAGCATGGTTTGATGCTCCGGTGTGGATAGGGTCCTAGGAACCACCCTGTGAAAGTCAAGGATAAGAAATCTCTCCGTTGCACTGAAATTCCAAATCCTCATCCTGGAGAGCAGTGTTCAACCTGCGCTAATAACCACTACGAGCCAGCAACAGTGTCCTGCTTATACAATGCCCATTTACCTCTTTACATTAGTTTTCTACGGAGAAATTGTTGGTGTTACACCTTCACTGTTACTTGGTCATCAGCATTCAAATTCTATATTTACTTCGGTTTGGTTTTGGTTTTGTTTTTTTTTTTTCAAATCAAACCCCTGACCAGAGGATTCAGTGAGGGACAACATATGAGGATATTTGTAGGAAAAACAGTGTTAATGAAAAAGATCTCAATCTTCTTTTTAAGCTGCAGATTTAAAGCCATAATATCTGCTGTGTTCACAGAAAGTGGTCTTTTATCCTTCACGGCTTTTAATCTCAACATTTTTTCTCTTAAACATTTTGTCTGCCATGTTATGCATGCGGTTCACTGTGCAACTGCATTCATGTGCTCAAGCCCATGCCTTGGTGGAATAAATATGTATTCCTATTTCATTAAAAATTAGACATCTTGTCAATTAGTTCAGAAATAAGAATGAGGTCATCGTTGTGTTTTAAAAAAAAGCTTCCCATTTTAGGGCACAAATCAGCATCAAAGCTAACAGCAAGTAACATCTAAAATCTATTCAGCATTATAGCTAGCCTAGATCCTCAGCTGGTGTAAATCACGGTCACTCCATTGATTTCATAGAACTATAGAATCACAGAATAGTTTGGGTTGGAAGGGACCTTTAAAAGTCATCTAGTCCAACACCCCTGCAGTGAGCAGGGACATCAGTGGAGTCCACCCCATTTACACCACCTGAAGTTACACGTCCGTCCTCCTCATTACACCGATTTTTTAGCATTACTGTAAAACACCAAGGCCACATGATTCAACAGCAGCTCAGCACTTTCCATCATTACCTGCTGCTTATATTACTGTAGCACCCAGAGGGCCAAGTCATGGACCAAGATCCTTTCGAGGCAGGTGCTGCGAAACAAAAAGACACCCCATGGGTCAAATGCTGGGTCTGCATCTTCAGAAGGCTTCAGCCCACTGACGTTTCACGAAGAGCAATAGGAACCACTACCCCGCTGGCCCTTTTGAGACTCTGTCTTTAAGGCGATCCATCATCCCTCACACTGCGTCAGCAGCTTTCGCCGTCTGGCCCTGACCTACAGCGCAGGCAACTTGCCCTGGTGTAAAACAGCATGTCTGGGGATGGGCGGTAGCCAGAATCCTAGGCAAGATCTTTGGGGGGAAAAAAAGAGAAAGAAAAAAAAAAAGTAAAAAAAAAAAAGGCAACACTGTTGGCTCTTAGTGGGATAGCAACCTTTTAATTTCTGGATTTGTGTTCCTAAATTTGAACCGGCCAGTCCGAATTTCCGAGTGCAGCAGCCTGTACTCAGCGGGCTGCTCCATCCGGCACGCTGGCCGGCGCGCGTCTCTTTAACAGGATGTTTCTCAGTCCAGCTGTAGTGTGGGGTACTCAGAATCTGAACTGGAGTTTACAAAATACCCTGTCCAGCTTACACTCCTGTTATGTGTAAATACTCTGCGCATCCATTCCATTTGTGTAAAGAATAAAGCACACACAATTATAAAAATTAAGATGTATATTTCATACTAGCTGTGTCCTTGCTTATTTATTCCGGTCCAAGCTCTCAGCTGTGGTTCAGTTGTAAATGCTTGATAGAGTGTTTATAAATATGTCATGAATTTTATTATAAAATATTAATATTAAAGCATTTTTACACTTTATAGCAAATGGCTTCTTCACAAGGCATAATTTGTCTTTTTTCCTTAAAGCAGAATAGTAAAAGAGCATGAATATGCTCCTAATATGTCTCGAGACACTATCACATCTGTCATATAAGGCAGACACAAATCTGGAAGCGGAATGGTGGTTTCAAAAACAACTAGGGATACAGAATTTTTTTTCTTTCTTGCACTTTTTTTTCTTTTTGACTTCACATTGACATGGAAGTTACCACCAAGCAGATTCACTCTGGTGAAGTACTGCCACTTTCTCCTTACCTCACTTCTGCCGTGCATTGGGTATCATCGGCATCTTGGTGAATAATTATCATCAGAATTATTTTTTTTTAATTAAAGAGTTGTTCCATGTTTCTGACATCACAGTGCAGCCGTTGGCATAAGGACTGTAATAATGACATGCTTGTAAGCAGCTTAGCAGAGCATAAACTCCGTTGTGCTATGGGGTCCCAACAGCCCAAGAACCTTGGGTTTTGGCCATCCCAGGAATGTCTTTGCAGATGGCTTGTGGGCTCCAGGGAGGCCAGTGAACATTTTCAGTCCCCAGCAGAGGCAGAAACTTGACGGGGACACTGCTTTTGACACACAGACGGTGCTAAATTCAATCTGCAGAGGACTATGGAGCATCCATATGGCTCTGGGAGCCACAGCTGACACTACGGGGAGAAAAATTCTGTCCACGGAGTTTTACATGCGTAATCACAAGGATGGTTAATC